TCATCAAATAACGCGAATTTTCACATCATTCCGATATAACGTGAATTATTATAAACTAATTATCAAACTTTTAATCAACCAATTACTTCGAATTTGTGAATTATTCAATTAAGTAATTTTTTCCAAATAATCAATCAATTAACGCGAATTTTCATTTAATACCGATTTATTAACGTGAATTGTTATAAATTAATTATTGAAATTCTAACCAACCAATTATTCCAAAATTTGTGATTTATTCAATTAAATCATTTTTCTCAATAATTGATTAAATTATGCAAATTGTTCAAATCATTTGCAATTTAATAAATGTGAATCATTATAACTAATTATTGAATTTTTAATCAATCAATTAATTCAAAATTATGAATTATTCAAGTAAATGATTTTTCCCTAACAACTAATTAAATAAATGTGATTCATCCAAATCAAATTCCGAATTATTAATCCACAGATTATTCAAATCGTGAATTATCAAGCCATTATCTTTCCGAATTGTTAATGACTCCAGAAATTACTCACTTTATTTCCAAAAGGTATTAACTAATTAAAGTAAAATTTAGACACATGCAAATTATTTCCAATTGAATTACCTGTGAATTATTCAATTAAAACTTTCTTAATTAACAATCTTACGAATTGTTAAATTAGCCTCAAATCATCATTGAAATGACGCAAAAAAAAATCGTTATGACATAATTTTTGAAATGTTAAGTAACCAGTTATTAGAAATTCAAAATTATTAATTTGAATTGAAAAATTTTAACAACAGAAATCATTTTTTATGCGTGAATATTAATCAATTCAACCTTTTCTAAAAAAAAAAGAAAGGAAAAATCGAGGACCTCCCGAACGAAAATCTCAGAGATCTGCTAGAACGACGCTTTAGAAGACATTATTAATATTAAAGATTTTTAAAAATAAAATATCCATTGAATTTCAATTAAGGATGGTCAAACAAAAGGAATAAATTTCATTAGTTAAAAAAACCAAATGTAAAAAGGAAATGGAAATCCTGTTAACTTGTCAGAAAAATTCAGTGTTCGTATGAAGAATTATTGTTCTCAAGGAAATCGCTCCTCATTAAGTTGAATTTCTATATTGATTAGTTCTTGAAATTAAAAATTTAGATTGATAGGATCAATTCCTTTGATTTTTTTTCTTTATTATCATGTATAACAAATAATTAAAGTTTCGAAAGAAGATTATCCATTTCTTATTTAATTCCTCTTGGCATTTACTCCGATCCCAAGCTATTTCCGAAAGGTAGGCTTAAAACAGGAGAATATAATACGCATAGTTTGCACTATTTATTTGATAATCACTATCAAATATTTATTGGAAACGTGTCGTAACACTTCCTTCTCTCTCCTCGTTCTGGTCGGATGTTCTTCTCCCAAAAAATCCTCTACACAATAGTTCTTCTCCTCACGATCTTCCCAGCAGTTCTTCCACGCAATTGTTCACACTGTAGTTCTTCTCACACTATTTCCGCACACTTTTCTCCTTCGCACTGTTTCTCTCCTCCAAAATAGTTCTCACCAGTTCTCTTCACAAATTGTTCGGGGTTTCTTCGGGGCAACTTTTCACAGCGTCCTTTGACACTAAGTCCTCTTTTTAATTCTTTCTGGGGCAGTAACTCGTGGGGCAGCGGTGGCACGAGTGATTTCTTCCAATCATCCTCACCTCTTCCTTCCTGATTTTTTGGGGGGGTCATCGGGTGTCCTTCTTTTTCTCATTTAGGGCCTCGCTCGAGGGATGTCTCTTTCCTCCGGGGTCACGTGGGGTCCTCTTCCTTGATGCGTGAGTGCTAGGGCGGAGGGAAATGGGGACGGCGGTAAGGAATATCTGGGATGGGTTGTCCAACGGTGGCGAAAAAATTCTTCCTCATCACAAGAGTCTGTAACGGGATTTTTGGAAATCCCGCATATTAAACTATATTTTGGGCTAAGTTCTCTAAAAACTTCTACCATCTCGACTCTCTCCCGGGAATTACTCGAATCGTCGAGGGGTGTGGGGACTGGGGCCCGAGTGCTTAGGGTGTTAGGAGGCCTGAAGACAGGCAACAGCACAGGGCGGACACGTGGAAACATTCCCAACTCCCCTATGAGACTTCCTGGCACATAGCATAGGACTCATACCGACGTATGAGCGCTCCATGTTAGATGGGGTAGGCTTTCGGACGGCTGATCCTTCGAAGGGGTTGTTCGAAGGGGTCAGTTCGAATTCGGCGCGCTCCAGGAGAAGCTAGTGTCAGGGATATCCTCCCTACGGCGAGGGCAGCACGTCCCGGCACACGGCAGCTCACCCAGCCGTAGTCGAGAGTGGGGGTACATCGGCACTACTGCTGACACCGCCGACTCACTCGGCAGAGCCGCTTCGGCTGGCTCCCAGTGCGGACCACTGGCAGCTCTTCCTCGAGCCTTTAGCCGGCTCACAATGCCCAGCATTGGTCTCCTACGCTGTCTAGGTGAGGATCATCCTCTCCCCGGGAGTACTCTCTGAGTGAGGGCAATACCCTCCTCGGGTAGTGTTCTCTAGGTGAGGGCCATGTTCTTCCTGGTGTTCTCTGGATGAGAACCATACTCTCCCCAGTTAGGCTCTCTACATTTGGGGCTACCCTAGTGGGCCCGGCACGCTCTCGATGGTGTGCTTTTGGGTGAGTAATCCCCACGCTCTCGGCCTCCCGGCACTCTGCTATCTTACGTCGAAAGTATGCTCTCGGTTTCCCGATTCACGATCTGTTCTCTGTCTAGATTTCGGTTATTATAGTCGCGTATCCGCGGACCCTGGTCCTCTCTACACGACCTAGCATCCTGAGTAACCCAGGTCTTCCCGCTTCCGTTCCATTCGTCATCAGCTTCTAGCTTCTCGCGGGTAGTTTTACGGTAATGAGGTTATCGTTATAGTTTTGGGAGTACCGACTCCCCGGTTTTTGGGATTTATGGATTTACGGATTTTGTGTTGTCGCGAGGACGAGTTGCAACCCCCCTCGTCCTGTCCTTTCGTGCTCTTGTTTTTGGATATATCGGATTTTAGGTCGGCTAGCCTGGGGCAAGGCAGGGCACCCCCCCCCCTCCCCCCTCCATGCCTTTGTTTCGGTTCTTTCGGTTTCGTTAGCTATTGGCCCATAAAAAGCTAGCTGGCGCCCGCAGTAATTCGGTTGGATTTTAGGATGCGAGCACAGGAACGGGCGAAGGTAATAACTATCACCGATCTTCGGGACGAGGTCGGGGAAAAGTCTTACAAGTCAAACAAATATTTGTTAATCGGGACTGTTCTTCAATGTTGATTTGTAGGAGGTTTTAGTTGAAGAACAGACTGGGGCCCTCCTTACAACTTTTTAATAGTTAATTATTGAATTTATTTTGATTGAAAAAAAAAAA